AGTGACAACATGATATTCCTGAAGTGAATACGGAGAGGCGTCCTTGCAAAGACAAACCACTTCTCATGCCTCTTCGAAGTAACAATCTCCTTACACAAGAAGCTATGCACCAGTTTAGCAGAAAATTTTAGCCGATTTTTCGCAATTTCCATCACATGTGTGAAAACAGGATCACTCTTCACAACACCATACTCTGAAGACATAGCATCATGTAGAAGGTCGAGAAGCTCCATCCGGCAGCTGTTGTTGATCTTCTTAACTTGAGGTTCCAAACCCTCTCCATACAAACGCTTGGGTAGCTCTAAATCCATACCTACAAAGGACCAAAAGTTTGATTACGGTTCAATACATCAATTACAAAATTATGGAAATCAAATAAGTTAAGAAATTGTAAANAAGACATAGCATCATGTAGAAGGTCGAGAAGCTCCATCCGGCAGCTGTTGTTGATCTTCTTAACTTGAGGTTCCAAACCCTCTCCATACAAACGCTTGGGTAGCTCTAAATCCATACCTACAAAGGACCAAAAGTTTGATTACGGTTCAATACATCAATTACAAAATTATGGAAATCAAATAAGTTAAGAAATTGTAAACAAACCAAGTCAATTCATCACATATAATAAGTAAACAAACAAAACAGAGACGAAATCAAATGAAACAAACCGAAATCAGTAAAAAAAATCTGCAAAAATAAACATTTTATACACACACTCAATTCATGAAGTAAAACAATTCACAAACGTAACTGGTTCATATAATCAGCAAAAGAGAGAGACATGCAAAAAAAGAACATGCAAAGAAGAACATGCAAACAAGAACCGGATTGATGAACATGCAAAGAAGAAATAGAGAACAAGTGAGGTCGATTGATGTCGCTTTACCTTAGTACAGATGTTGTTGGAAGAGGCAGTAGAGATTCAGAGAGGAAGATATTCAGAGAGGCAGAGAGAACAAGTCGATTGATGTCGGCGGAGAAAGAGATGCAGAGACGCGGAGAGGCAGAGAGGCGGAAAGGCGGAGAGGCGGAGAGGCGGAGAGGCGGAGAAACTTAAGATGCGGAGAGACGGAGAGACGGAGAGGCGGAGAGACGGAGAGGCGGAGAGACGGAGAGGCGGAGAGGCGGAGAGAATCTCTGTCGCCGTCGAGAGGTGGAGAGGATCTCTCTGTCGCCTTTGTTTTCTGGGAGAGTTCCCTTTACTAAATGGGAATTAGGGTTACGGGGAGAGTTAGTTCCCTTTTGTTTCTATTTATTTTTTTTTAATTCCAAAACTAACATTTTATAAATTCAGTTTTAATTAAAATATTTAATTAGATTAATCTAGGGTTAGTTATGGGATTATAGAAAAAGATTATACTATAGGGACAAGATTGATGTTGGTTTATACTAAGGGGACATGAAACCTATTTTTTTGTTCTAAATTAGCATAATTCCCATAATTTAGTTATGTTTTGGTTAGAAATAAATTGAAAAAATTAAAAAAAGTGTTCAAATAGTAACATATGACTTATAATCTATGATGCACGGGGATGTGAGTTTGAGTGACGTCCCAGTACCGGAAACATTTTTGAAACGGGAACGGCCTTGGGACGGTGCTGGGACGGCGTGGGGACGTAAGAGCAAGTTAGGGCTTAACAACATGAGCTTTATAACATGTGCAGTCACTTTTTATTTCATCACTTTTGATTAAGAATATATATTGTTGAAATTGAACGCATTAAATGATTCTCTACACCGAATATATTGCCAAAGGTAAGAATTCAGAAGTGAAACCATGATGATGACTTTAGATTCAATCCAAACTAAAAATTTATGTGTATATCTATCTTATTGTAGTCCATATATTTAATCCAAATTAAAAATTTATGTGTATATACACGTATATATATTACTTTTATAAACGTTTTTATGCCGTACCCGCAGCTCTAGTTTTTTAGTTTTGACGTTTCTCATCCCCGTTTCTGTACTCGTATCCGTCCCAGTGCATCATAGCTTATAATATTACACAAACTCAAAATGTGACTTAGAAGGTCAATCTGTTGCAGCTTACTCCATCCATTCATTCTTTTCATATTTTTAACGTAATTCATAAATTTCTTATATACCACCATAACACGTGGAACCAAAAATTTTCTTTTCCTATATAATTTGTCAAATCTTAATAGATTTCCATTTAATAACATGTGATTTCATTACTGAAAGTAGAATTCTAATTGCAAAGTAGAATTCTAATTGCAGACTTGCCAGCCAAAGGGAAGGCTAGATATGCTCCAACCCGGCCGACATAAACCAAACTCAAACATTGTTTTCAAGGGACAGTGGGCTCCAACGGTAAAGCATTATTAACAGGTTAATTTAAGCACGCAGAAATTATGGTTCTGCAACAAATTTTAAAAGTCGATTTAATTTTTAACAAAATAAATACATTGTTCAGACTATAAACATGAAGTGTTGATTTTACACGAGTTTTGGACTAAACAGCTTTTAAACTCTAAGAAGGGTTTTGAAGTGTTTTTTTAATCAATGCTTTGATTAGCGATTTGATGATCTACCAAACGAGCTGAATCGCTAGAACTATGTGCGGATCAAAATGTGCAATACACAGATACTAAGTATTCAAAAAGTAAAAATAAAACAATAACCATGGTAACAAAATAGGTAAAACATGGTGAAATTTTAGTTGCTCAGTTAACCGCTCAGATCGACATAATAGTCGACTGACTCATTAAGCACCAAAAGTGCTTTCAATATATATTTTTCTCATCACCGCAACATAAAACTTTATTTCAAAGAAACACACAGATGAAAACACGGAACAACAAAAAGTTAAAAGGATGAAGAAGACGATTAAAATTGGTTGCTCAGCTAACCGCTCAGGTTCGACAATTTTGTCGACCGTTCATAAAGCGTTGCCACTTTCAATTTATTAATAAAGATCTCATCATTGCAAACCATAACTCAAATAGACTCCTTCTACGTTGAACACCGAAACAGGAGAATAAGCACCTAATCAACTAAAGAAGGTTGACTTTGTTTTATGAAAACTCGATTGCGAAACTAAGGAAAACGAGTGAATTATAGTATAAAGCAAGAACCATAGATGATAATATGGTTTCTCAATACTCGCCGCCTGATCTCGGATAGAGGCGACCTGCCTTGGATTATACTGTCAAATCTTTTGTTTTTATAGAGAGGAAGACTCTAGGGTTTTAGCGTATGGGCTTGAGGTACTTACTCATTGGGCTTCTTAAAATGGCCCCGAAACCATCTTTGGGCAGTGATTGGATTGAAATCTTATTTGATCAATCATGTCGAAATTTGTTGATTTACAGCTTGTGTGTTTATAACTACATAATAATTACTCCCTCCGTTCCCAAAAGATCTATGTTCTGGAAAAATATTTTGTTTCAAAAAGATGTATATTCTATGTTTCCTATGAGAAAATTACAAGTTTCAAAAAAATTAATTGGTTTTATTAGATTACTATTGGCTAAAAGTTGTTGAAAATTAAAAATTACTAAAAACGATAGTAATTTAATGTGTTTTCTTAATATGCGTAAAAAATACTAAAAAGTCTATCTTTTAGAAACAGAGGGAGTGTGGAATAATTAAAAACGGCTTTAATGCATAATAATAAACTTATTATATCATGCGGAAAAGTTCTATTCAGTTAATTTTTTGTTTCTCTATAGGTAATCCATATGAAGAATGATAATGATGGCAACAATAATGATTAGGTTCCAAATTTCGGTCTTTTCGATCAAAATTATGCATGTAAAATTATATTAGGTCTTTGACCAGTGGCTAATTAAGGTGCTAGAAGAAAATGTAAATATGATAGGAGTTATATAAATATTTTGTAAGAAAATTCTGACAAAATATTTTCACAATAAATTTAAAATTTATTTCCAAAATGTACTTAATTTTAATTTTAGTTTTCATAAACTATAATAAAAATAAAAATTTCATTTAATTTTTTTATTTATATACAAAATTTTAACATTATATAAAAAATTTTAATTACATATTTAATGATAAAACAATTTAAACTGTTTTCTTTTCAAAAATGTGCTTTACAAATATTTTGTTATAAAAATTCATTTCTATTTCAAATTGAGAGAAGACATTTTATCCAATTTAGTGTATTTGTTTTCTTTTTTTCAGAAACGTGTATTTGTTAAATATGATATTTACTAAAAAATTATTTTGAAGTGCAATGTATTATAGTTTCTCTTTAAAAACAAATTATATTTTTAACAACATCTCAAAAAATATCTTCTCTACTATATAGGTCCAACCTAATTGGCTTCCATATAACTTTTAAATTAAAAAATGTGTAAAATAGTACTGTTACATAATACTATTTTCAATATAGTTTTTGTTACAAAATACAAAATTTATAATAATAATAATAATAATAATATATAAACCATGTAAACATAGCTAATATAGAATTAAATCATATATATCACTAAATTACATTAAGGTATTGGTAAATTTTGTTATAGAAACTAAAATATTTCAGTATATAAATAAAAAAACCCGTACAATTGTGCGGGTCGAGATCTAGTTATAAATTAAGGCAGATTGAAAATGAAAAGACAAGAGATAATTTGATGAAATATAAGAGGGGTAGTAATCAGAAGAAAAAATAGTGGAAGAAATGAACTAAGAGCAACATTATTGGTAAGGACATATTTGAGTCCTTATCATATTTTATGATTACTTTTATGTTTAGGACAAAGCTAAGGACTTTTCAAAATTTGTAGATTATTGGAAGGATATTTTTGAGTCCTTAACTTTACTTGATGTTCAATGTTTGATTCTCAAACTAAATAACAGAATAACAGAAGTTAAAAACATAGTAAGTGAAAGGTTAAAAACAAATGATTAAGCAAATCTGTTGAATGATCTCCCAAACCCATTTGATCATACCGAGGAGATGGATATGCATATCATCAGCTAACTCCAAAGCTTTCTTGCTTGTTGTCTGAATAATCTCAAAGGAACAAGTAGGAGCGGGGATGCATGACAGGTTTCTCAGAGGTGCTGGCTTCCATGGTTGGATCTCCATTCCCTGGTGCAAGGTTGTAGTATTGATCAGTATCACTGTCTACCTCATCAGGAGTCTTTCTATTCTGATTTGCTCTATACTGAAAAAGCGTCACGTTGTAATAGTAGCCCACAATCTCTTCTCTGCTCTTTGAAGAAAGAATCTTCTTGAGCTCATTGAAGGAAGATGGGCTAAGTGTAGGTGGAAAAGCCATCAAACGCTTTACTTGCTTCAGTTCTAAGTCTTTCCAATACTGCAGAGTACCTTCACTCATACCATCAAAACACCACATGTAGAAAGCTGAACCAAGTTCAAGTTTTAGTTTCTCCCGTTTTGTGTTTATATATGGAATCTGACACATTCAACAGAACCTGGGTTTTGGCAGCCGCAAGGATCTTGTCTTCCTTTCCCAATAGGATCTCTTTCGATGAGAAGATTACTGTTGTTTTGTTCTCTGCTCAGTGGCCAGACTCGAGTGCCCAACCACTTTGAATCGCTTTCAGTGTTGACGCCAATCCACTCAGGTACTTCAGCCTGAAACTTTGAGCCAACTTGAGCACATGGTCTATCCTCCTCAACAACATATCCCAAACTACGTTTCTAGACTCCCACTTCGCGAAGCTATTAGAGAGAAGCTCACAAAGCAAAGATGCTGAACCAAAGCCTCAAAGAAAAGCAACAAGGCATACATATTCAGGTAACAAAATCTACCTATAAAATACAAACAAGATTTCTACATTACATAACTCTAAAGTTTCCTCTTTTATTTATCCATCCGCATCTACTTGACACAAAGCTCTAAGCTTTTAAGTGAAATCAAATTAGATAAGAGAGAAGACTTGCCTTCATCTTGTAGAAGCTGTTCTACAATCACATGAAGCTCTTTGAAACTTCTTTGACCAACTATGATATGTGAAACCAACAATGAGGAAAGCCTCGAGTGGCGAAATCCATAAACATCTTTCAGCTCTTTGAAAAACCAAACCGAAAGATCCGAACTTTCACTCATCAATTCACTCATGATCTCTTCCACATGGACTTGCTTCAAATCCGAAACAATCCTCGAAATTGAACCCCGTGGAGATACTCACGGAACCCAATCTTCTTCATCCCAAAGAGAATCTCTTGACGGAAGTAATCTCTCTGATTTGTTGTGAAAACTGACTTGTCGAAGGAGAAGGAAAGTTTAGTGGAGAAGACGAAGAGAAACAAAGAGAAAGAACAGAGAAATATCGTCTCTCTCTTCTCATTCCCTACACGTGTCATCAAGAACGTCGTCAGAAAAGTTCTTAATTAACATACGTCCTTAGCTTTTTCTCTAATTTTGATTTATTTTTTGGGTTATTATTGCTAAGGACTTCCTTAAAAAACACCGATAATCTTGATCTAAGATTCTATCTTGTTCCAGATGAGATAAAAAAATTATTAATAAGACTTCATCATCAAGAAGAGGATCCAATATTTTTCCAGACAAAATATTCTACTAGTTTTCCAAAAACTTTCATTTTCAACCTAGTTAATTTCAACGAATTGGATCCTCTTTTTTGATGATGAAGTCTTATCAGTTTTATCTCATCTGGAACAAAATACAAGGCCACGTTCATTTATTTATATTTGTCAATATCTTTTTTTTTTGGTAGATGACGAAACACTCGAGTATTTACACCTATTTTTTTTTGTCATGTTCACCAGCTGTCCACAAAAATTTCAAAAGGTTCATGTTGGTGAATGTTTGTACTGGTTGGTTGCAGTAGAATTAGCGGTGGAAGACTTGATAAAACTTTTAGTCAAAAAAAAAGGAGTTGATAAAACTTCCCCATGCCTTTGTCTTTATCATCTTTGTTGACAAAACATTTTAACTGAGAAGACAAAACCTTAGTACTTAAACCATGAAGACCAGGAGAAAACTGGTTTACCATGCGATTGCCTAAGACTTAAATAACTAAGAGCCAAAGCTCCAAACCTTAGATTGGAACCGGAGAATCTGTACCTAAAACCAGTGACTAGTGACAGTCAGTGTTAGGGATATTTAATTAACAGAGTAAATCCTTCTACATAAAGCATGAACTTTGAATATATCTCTCGTTATCATTTTTGGTTTTCGGATTGTGTCTTTCACCTGTCTTCGAGTTAAAAAGAAAAACTTCTAAAAAAGGAAGATTTCATATTCCGGAATATTGAAAGATATAACTTAATTTTATTTCGGAATATTGAAAGATATAACTTAAATTTCAACCATAACTACCTACAGTATAATCTCTTTAAATTAATAATCTATAAATTAATATCTCTATAAATTAATATAATTTCATAATCCAAAACTGAGTTTTTGATTCAATTAGTATCTCGATAAATTAATAATCTCTATAAATTAATAAAAATTATAGTTTTGGTGTAATCCCAACATTATTAATTTATAGAGGTTTCACTGTATAAAAGAGATTCCAAAACCTTAAAAAGAAATACACTTTTATTCACTTTTGATTTAAAGTTAAATAATATAAAGTTTACTCACCAATACATTGTACTTATGCTCTTAAAAATGCTATATTTAATCTCTTTTTACTGCTTTAGTTCCTTTTTCATAGTGTCACTAAGTATCCTACATTATTTTACCCTAGTAATCAACACCTTTGAACCGAACTGTTGCACCAAAAAGCCAAGAGAATCACTCCTCCTGAAAACAACTTTATCACTTGAAACAACAACCGCAAATGTCACACAAATCTGAACTGGGAGTGACCAAGTAAGAGACAAAACGCAATCCCAAGAAACTGTGATTAAAACCCACATGACCAAAAATCCACTGAAACTTGAGACAACCGCACCTCTACGCCAAGGAAAAAATTGCAAACACTACATGCAAAACTTCCTTACTCAAGGAAATTTTTTTATTATGCCTTCCATTTGGTACATTATTTATGTTTACCTTCTCAACATTCAAAAATATCTAAACATGAGTTTTTATTAAGGAGGTAAAAGACATTTATACGATTGCTTGATAAATATATAAATATGAATAATTATTTAAATAAAGAATAAAAAGTAAAAATAAACTAGTTTTTGAATTATACCTTTTAAAATTCAATATTTTAATCATTTTTTCTTTTTCTTTTTCTGCGTATTTTGCTTTTTGAAATTTGAAAGTTTATTTTTGAAACTATTTTTAAAGTTTTAATTTTAGCTTTAAAGTTTTTACTTATGTATTTATTAAAATTATAAATTTCACCCTCAAAAACTCCACCTCTCAAATCTAATTTCTAATTAAACTCTAAGTCTAATTAGTTAATCATAGAGTTATATACTTTTTTAAAACCAATGGTAAATGTGTTTAAGGTAAACATGACAAATGAGTAGTTGGAAAGTGGTAGATGTAAGCAATTTCTCCAAGATAAATGTAGTTAAGATATTGGAAACTTTTGTATCAATAAATATATATTATTTGAAAAAACACTTAACATAAAAAAAAATTAAAATTTTGTTAAAAATCCTGCATATTTTATGTGTGGCTCATACTCTAGTCACAATTACACTTTTTAAATCTTTTATCTGATGAAATTTCAAATTTATCGATCCAAATAGGAATAGAGATTTACAAGTGGATGTTAATTTAATGCTCATCAAGCCAAAAAAAGAATATAAAAAAATAGATGGACGTTGTAAAAGAGATGGCCGAAACTTGAAACCATCGCCTAAGTAGTGGCTCCAACTTATGATGCTCTGTGTATTCGAGAGAGGAGATACGGTTACATACTTATTTGCAATGGCCAGACTTATTGCTTCAACTGAGAGCCAGCTACCACCATGACGCCCAGAGTTTCTTTCCTTTCACAAAAATAGATTGTGACCTGAAAAACAAGCTGCTGTAGCACATTATCTATTTTACTCCTCTGGTTACCCAAAGGCCTAGCAACCGTATCTTCTAGTCTTGAATGATTGATTGATCAAATAAACTCAATGCAGTGTTCATATGAGCAGTGAAACTATATGAACATGCAAAAACACACAATACCTCCTTTTTCCGCATAGAGGACATCCCAAGCAATAACCCACTTTCTCATGCAATCACCAGTAGACAATCTATCTCTGAAAGCCAGCCAAGTTATAAAAGAGTGACAAGGAATTGCTTGACTAAACCAGACTAGAGTGCCAAAGTGCTTGCTCCCTATTGATACACAAATGATCCGAAGTCTTGGCAACATAAAAAGTTGGTTTGTAATCATAAGGATTGTGCCACCAAAGAATTACATAGGGCCATAGAAAAGAGAAGAATAACTTATCTCTTCGATTCTGGCGTAGACATCAGGAAAACTTCTAATTATCAAACCAAAAATGAACTGATCTCCCCTATCACGAACCTCAAACCGCATATAGTCATAAGCAAGGGCCCGTAGTTTAAGCAGCTTGAGTCACAACCAAGAACACAAGAAATTTTAATACATTTTATTTACATATAAATTGTATGTGGTTTGATTTGCAAAATATATATATTCATACTATTATTTGCAAAGTGATTTCTTGATCCGAGCTCTCACGTTAAAAAATAAAGCGGTTAATATCATTTATATCTCTAATGAATGATAAATTTGTTAATATATAATTAATTAATATTAAAACGAATTTCTAATTATCAAAACCTAAAATAGTTTATATTATTTTATCCAAAAAAATATTTTATATAACCCTTTGAAAAATAAAGATAAATCCATATATGTATTATCACTAGTTATAAAATTATCATTATCTAAAAATAATTTATATTTTGTTTTAAAATATTTATTATACTTAATGAATCATTAGATTTGTTAATATATAACTGTTACTATATAATTAATTAATAAATATTAAAACGAAATTATAATTATAAAAACCGGAAAATAGTTTATATTATATAACTGTTGATATATAATTAATTAATATTAAGTTAGAGTGGTTAATATCTTTTGTATCCTTAATGAATAAAATATATAAATTACATACAAAATAAAAACGAATTTAAATTATTTTGAGTATATAAGTAACTAAAACTAATAATAATCATAAGAATTATTCAAAATCTAAATATATGTTTTTAAATAAGATAATTTCTATATATATATTGTGTTGTTATCTGAAAATATATTTAATAAAAAGTTTTAAAATTAAAACCATAGAAAATACATAACTAAATATTAATCAAGTGAACTTTATAATTTTATACAATTGAAAAGAAAATATTATTTGATTTTAAGATTTAATTTTAGTAGTAAACATAAAGTACAAAGAAATATGTGTAAGAATGTTTAAATGAAATTATAAATATTATTGGTTTCAAAAAATAAAACATAAATAATACTTTATCATTATAATCTTTCAATTAGTAAAAAATGTTTTACTAAAATAATTATAAAATGTTTAGGTCCGTGAGTGCAAGAAAAACACCTACTTTATACTATTATTTATAAAGTATTTTTTTTTGCAACAAAGCTTTTACGTTAAAAGTTAGAGTGGTTAATACGTTTATGTCTTTAATGAATAACAAAAGTTTTACTATATAATTAACCATAAATTAAAAACAAAATTTCAATGATTTTAAAATTCTCTTTATCTAAAAATATTTTATATTTTGTTAAAAGTATTAATTAACTGTAAAAATAATTATATTTTTAATATATAATTAATTATAAATTAAAACCGAATTTTATTAATTTAATAATTATCCATATCTATTTTTTATATTGTGTTATAAAGTCGTTATCAACCTTGAAAATAATTATATTTTTAATATATAAATTTTAAATTAGAAAAAAACAAATTTCATGAATTTGATAATTATATATATAAATAATTTATATTGTCTTATCAAAAAATTATTTTACATCTTATTTTTAAAAATAATAATAAAAATAAATCTCTATATATAATTTTCTATAGTCTTCTATAATTTTATGTATACAAAACTGTTACAAGTTAATTTTACGCAATAAAGATAATTTATTATTGAATTTTTTGTCATGTCTAAAAAACCGTTCAGAGTGTTTTCAAATCTAATTTATGTAATGAAAAATATTTATATTATGTTTAAAAACTTTTTATATAGAAAGAATTATGTAGTTTATTATTCAATATTTGGAGTGTATGTATATTGACTTATTTTAATGTACTTATATATATATATATATATATATATATATCTATTTGTAGATATTAGTAAAGTTATTAATCCCTACATACTTATATACAAATTAATTTATATTGTAGTATCGAAAATAAATATTTTACATCATAAAAATATATTTTTAAACCTTATATATATATATATATATATATATATATATATATATATATATATATATATATATATATATATATATATATATATATATATATATATTTATATATAGTTGTATGTATACATGAGTATTTCAAATGTAATCTACGCAATAAAATATAATCTTATTATACTAAAAAAGTTTCCAATATAAAAATTTGATATTAAATCATCACTCAATATTTTTTCATGCATAAATGTTTTCAAGTTGATTTTACATAATAAAAGTATTTATATCATGATGAAAAACTTTGTATATATCAATAATTTGTTGTTTAATTTAATGCTAAATATTTTCAACATATGAATAATAATTTCTTTTAATGGTGTTTGAATTATATATATATATATATATATTTATAAATATCTATGAAATTATTTATTCCGAAAATGCGGACAAAACACCTAATTTAATACATATTACTTAAAATTAAACCACACGCAGCCATAGTCGTAGTTTAATACATTTTGTTTTACATAGAAACATATATTTCTATATATAACATGATTTCTTAAAAAGGTAGTAAAACAAATTTTGTATTTATTTTAAAAACATTAAATAAGATTCTTTGACAATTGAATTTAAGTAACATAACATATATTAGAAAAGGAGATTAAATTCGTTGCTATAAACCTAATTTCAAAGAGTAACTAATTTTTTTTGAAATAGCATAAATCAGAATACTTTTAAACATTTTAATGTATTATATTTTACTCTTGTAAAAAAAATTCCTTTTTGGTAATTTTTTTAGTTTAATTGTCATTTTTAATTTTAGTTTTCTTTATATTTGCACAAACAAGTACATCATGTTAAAATACTTCAACTAAAATATTTGTGTTATATTCATCTATGTAACTCTAAATCGATCAATATTTTGTTTATTTTTTCTATATAATGCTCAAAACAGCCTAAATTAAGTTATATATAATCTAACTAAAATATATCTCAAATGTAATACAAAACCAAATGTAACTAATCACAATGTTAGAAAAAAATATTATGGTGGGATTTTGAGAAATATGGAATTTATATATCCAAACAAAAAGAAAAAACTATTGAATATTATATATCCAAAATCATGAATCTACTTATATAAAATTTATTTTATTTGAAATAATAAAATTAATCATATGTGATATATAAATACATAATCCATTAAAATTAAATATAAAAAATTAGCCAGTTATTATGTATGTATATTCAGTAGACGAACACATAAAAATCACATAATATGTATAATATTATAATATATTTATTTATATATAAAATCATAATTTAATATAAATGACGGAAAAATAATTTAGGTATTTGATTTGTAATTTTTTTTAACTTTAATATATTTTTTTATCAAATCATCAGGAAATGAAATAAAAAAATTAAATACATAAACTTATCATCTAACATCATCTTTTTTTTTATATAAAAATATTCATATCTTGTGATTAACTTAAACCAAATCTATAATTTAAAATTTGTGACAGAAGTTTTAAAAGTAATATTTTCTAATAAATATATTATCATTTTCTAAAACACTGATTTAACAACAAACTTCCAAATTTCATTGATTTAGATTACTTATACAATTATTAATTTTTGATACTTTAACTTTTATTAATTTTATCCAAAACAAAACAATATTTGTTTTAAATATATATATATATATTCATCTAAGAAAAAAACTTAATGTAATTATGATAATCTTGTTTCAGCATAATTAGAATAAAACTATATGTGACTCGATTAAAAAATATTGATGCAATCAAATATACCTAAAACATAATAACTAAATCAGTCTAAATCCTTATATTTAATGTTACTCTAAATATTTCTTTTTTATTTTTATAAGTATAAATCATAAATGATTTACAATCTATAAACAGATTAAAGAAAAAATATACCCAACTATTTCAATTTATTTCTACTTATAATTAATATTTATATCATGTGTTTTCTTAAAAGGTTAGTGATTATGTTTCTTTTTAAATTTCATACTGATCACCATATTATCTTTTCCATTTTCTTTCAAAATAATATATATATATATTAAATTATACGAATACCAAATATTTCTTACAGTTTTAAAATAAAAACCAAACTAAATGCAATAAAAATAATCTACATTTATCTTAAATAAAAAATAGATGTGATTCATCTCAAAGGAATATATACAATTCAATATACGTAAATAATTTGAATTTTTACAGCAAATTACGGATCAAATCAAAGATAATCTTATTATTATTTAGAATAATCTTATAACAGTAAATAACATATTATTGTTTAGAAAAATCTTCAAGTGAATTATTATACTATAAATTAATAATAACTATAAACAATGGAAAACAAATATTAATAAATTATAAGATTTATTTCTTTTGTAAATATTGATATGTGTACATGATACTAACTATATTCACTTATGCAAACTCTATAATTACAACTTCTAATTTCTTTTACAAATTAACAAAACTAGATTATACATAAATTTCGAAATTATATTACACAAGATAATAAAACAAACAAAATGAAATTAATAAAATCAATATGATTTTCACTCATTTAAAAGTAAAATGGTTCAATTTAGAGAAATATATTTAATCTAATATAACTAAAAAGGATTGAATTAATCAGATTTTATAAGTAAAATTACATATCTATACAAAATCATTTATATATATATATATTTATTTCCATGCATATAAATTAGAAAATATTATAATGTTTTAATTTTAAATATTTATACTAGATTTTGACCCGCGCAACCGCGCGGGTGTTTGTTTTCGTTTATAGTTAGTTATTTAAACATTTTGTTTTCACTTGTAAATTGGTATATATTATAGTAATCACATATTTACGAAATGTATAGTAAATGTTTTTCAAACATAATAATATTATATAATACGTGTTTTAATCAAATAGATTGTTTCTAATTTTCTATATTACACATGTTTTTTCAAACATGTGTTTGTTTCTTCTTCTACATTTTATTGTTTGTTAGATTAATATTTCAATTTTAGATAAAATAATATAAATAGAGCTTGATTAAATATTAGTATACTTTAATTTGCAAAGATAATATAAACTTCAAAGAAATTTTTGCTAAAAACTAAACTTATAGCTTCATAAATTAATATTATAAAGAGTTTTATTAAAAAGAAATCTTATAAACAATTTCTTTTTTTAAAACAATATAATTTTAAAATTTTACATCCGAATAAATTTATCTAGTATATATAGCGTGTAAATGTTTTTAGGGTATATAAATATTCCATATTACGAATCTGTGATTTTGTTAATATATTGTAGATGCATTTAACTATTATTGACATATTTCCTTATAAATAATAGTAGATTCCTAAACTTATATCTATTAACATATTTTGTGTGACTAAGTTGGAAGGTGTGGGGTAATTTACCAAAACCAAATTGTTAAGCATATCTTTGTTATTATAGATATAATTTTTCATAAGATATAATAATGATAAAATTATTAGAGAGTTAATGTAACATGACTTTCTAGTAATAGTCTAGTTTTTAAAAAAATCACACATGAAATCAAGTCATGACTTCTGTTTTAATATATAAGATATGTGTATGACCACGAAAAACATCACCTAATAACATATAAAGCAAAAATAATGTAATTAAGTAAAGTTGCAGATATTGTGAAAGTGATTCGTGCGAACAATATAAGTTAACGAAATAGTAATATTACATTTCCAAAATGTCTCTGTAGTGTATATTCTGTGTATCACATTTTCGACTCTACGCAGAGTGGACTCCTCTCTCCCCCTCTCTACCCTAAAACACACTCACCCACTTCCTCCTCCTCCTTCTCTTCCATAAACCTCCCCTCTCTCTCTCTCTCCATCACAGCTCTTGCAGACACCAACTCCTCCCAAATCTCCCCTTCTTGATCACTTTTTAAGTTTTGTCCGAACGCTCTGAAAACTTTCTGAGACCCCCAAGTAAAACGATAAACAAAGAAGATGGCTGAGAATCTCACTTGTGGAGAAACCAGCGATTCATGGATCACTGACAACGACGACGATGAAACCATCATCCGTGGCGGCGCGTTTACGAACGATAACCATCAACTTTTTAGTAAAGACGATAACTTTAACGGCGACGGATCAATTCCGATGATGGGTTCTCCGTCGTTGGCGGGAGAAGAGAGAATCAAAGAGATGTTGGAGAGAGAGATTGAGTTTTCGCCAGGAGATGATTATCTCAAGAGGTTGCGTTGTTCTGGGGATTGGGAGTTGCGTCTTAGAAACCAAGCTCTCGATTGGATTTTAAAGGTTTGAAAGATTTATCCTTTTTTGATTTTTATGAAAAAAAAACATCAAATCTGGTTTTGTCTGATTTTTTGAGTTTCTTGTCTGATCAGTTGATAGATCAGTTTTAAAAAGATGCTTTCTGATGATTAGATGTATTGAATTGGAAAGAAAAAAAAACACATACTTTTGAGATCTTCTCATTAGATTGAGATTTTGATCTGTTTTAGATTTTTTCTTTAATGCTTATTATTGTTGTTGTTGTTGTTGTCTGAAACAGGCTTGTGCTCATTACAATTTTGGAACACTTTGCATATGTCTATCCATGAACTACTTGGATCGGTTCTTAGCATCCTATGACTTGCCAGTAAGCTTGCTTCATCTTCTTATCATTAGCTTTGGTTCTTCTAATACTAATTGCGTGTGTGTGTGTGTGTCTGGATTGCATAGAAAGACAAGACTTGGGCTGTTCAGTTGCTTGCTGTCTCTTGCTTATCATTAGCAGCCAAAATGGAAGAATCAGATGTGCCTCAAACTGTTGATTTACAGGTGCAATACAACATTATACTCCTTAGTAACTCAAAGTTGGTGTAACTAATACTCTTTAGATGTTCTTGGATGAGCAGGTGGGAGATCCCAAGTTTGTTTTTGAGGCCAAAACGATTAAAAGGATGGAACTTTTGGTACTCAACACTTTGAATTGGAGATTGCAAGCTCTCACTCCTTTCTCCTTCATTGATTATTTCATTTACAAAACCAATGGTCACGTGTCAGAGAATTTGATCTATAGATCATCACAGTTCATCTTGAACACCACTAAAGGTGTGTTATTTGTTTTATCAGAAGCAAAGCTATAACAGTCTTTCCATGTTTGCAACTAACTTCCTCTGTTTACTGTTTGTACAAAATTGAATGCAGCAATTGAATTCATGGACTTCAGGCCTTCTGAGATAGCAGCAGCAGCTGCAATGTCTGTTTCATTTTCAGGAGAAATAAATTGCATTGATGACGACAAAACGTTGTCTAATCTCACATATGTAAAACAGGTAGAACCCATCTAATACATTGATCTAAGATCACACATTTCATCAATGGTCCTTGTTCAGCAGGAAAGGGTGAAGGGATGTTTGAGTCTGATGAGGAGCCTCATAGGGGACAATGTGCCAGGAGCTGCTAAATTATCTCCGCGGCAACTGAGGTTAACGGCAAGAGTGGTGCCAGTGAGTCCAGTTGGAGTGTTGGAAGCAACTTGTTTGAGCTATAAGAGTGATGAGAGAACAGTTGAGTCATGTACCAATTCCTCACAGAGTAGTCCAGACACCAACAACAATAATAGCAACAAGAGGCGGAGAAAACAATGAGGGAGAGAAATAAAGTTATACAATTGCTTTTCAACACTCAAACCATAAGGGTCATGACATTTTGAGGTTCTTTTCATTTTTGAGTTTATTCCTTTTTTCTTTCTTTAATTTCTCATCTTCAATCAGAAAAATGGATTTGGAGATAAGAGTTTTGTGAGAAAGAGAAAAGAAAAATAAAGAGTGATCTTTAAGGCGGCAATCAATAAGTCATCACTCAGGATGATGAGGTTCATGTTCTTGCTCTAAGGGATATTTTTTTGCTACATTAAGATAAAACATATATAAAAATAAGAAAGATAAAGAGAATCTATTTTTTTTAGATTTTGTTTCTTTTGGTATTCAAAGGTGGCCCTGAATTTAGATATGCCAAATTTTAAAATCATATATATTGGTTTATTTTAATTATATAAACGAAAATTGTTAATCATATATTTGTATTTAAAATGTTAGGTACAAAATATTAAATACATCTTAACATTTTAACCAAAAAAAAATTAAATTATTTACTATCATGATAATGCATTTGTATATGGAAAACTTATAATCGGGGCCAGTTCTTCACCACTCGAGTTAATTTTGATAAAATGTATGTGAGTTGTTAGCGAAAAAAAGTTATTTTGTATCTCTCTGAAATTAATTAGTTATTATTATTTTAGAAATACATATTTTTGCTAAAATTTGTAAGTTATATTATATAGATTCACATAACTAATGAGTATTTTATCTTCTGGCATATATGTGACATTATAAAATATCAAAAAATGCAATGGATATTATATTTTTAATCTTCACTAAAAAAATACCACCTTTCAAATAAAAATATACTTTTCTATTTGATTTTATTTCTTTAATAATTAGTTTTAGATTTAAGGAATGAAAAGATTATTTATCTTTATAATGTGTAAAAACTTTTTTTAAAAGCAATATTCAGATACAAAGAATACTTCTAAAACATAATTTCTTAGCAATAGGGAGTTTTTGGTTTTATGTGATCAAACTGGCTTAGTATTAATATATTTATTTTCCTGGTTTGAGGAATTATTTAATTGGTTTGGAGGAGAATTGCATGTTTTGGGGATTGGAGAAGGGAAAGCCATAATGGGCCCTGTAAAGAGGTGTTAGTGGGCCCTCTTATTTTTGTATTGACTATGCGACCGGTCAACATCCCATCTTGCTCTCTCTTTCCTCGTGTTCAGAAAAAAAACTAATATTCTGAGCACAAGAAGAAACCTTGGGAATCTCCTCTGTTACTTTGTCATAGTCTTTAGTATTTTTTACCATTATAGTATCTTGGTAACTAGTTCAATATTTTATATTTTACATATTCTCTTGCAGCTTAATACAGTATTATTATACAATCAAAATAGTTTAACGTGATGACTACCCATACGTACATCTTCCATAGTACTCAAGTACATATAAACAAGTACTATTAATTTTTCTTTTTGTACTACTAAATTTTTCTTAATAAACAACAATTTTTTGATGAATGGATTGAATAACGTTACATTACATGATTAGTTAGATGGTACAAAAGACAAATATTTTCTTTTTTTTTGATTTAGTTAGTGTGATTAATTGCTTCATTGTTTTGACCTTCCAAACTTTAGCAATAGTAAAATATATTCCACATAGAAAAAATAAAATGGGTTTTAACAACTCTAGATGATATATTTGCTTTAAGAAAATCAGATTTAGGTTTGATAACAGTTTAAGTAGTTAGATCGAGATGGGTGTAAAACGAGATAAGCATCATCTTGGGGGGTTCAAAGTATGTATATGCATGTTTGTGTGCAGAATTAAATTTCTTCACTTACTTCCATTATGACAACTTTATAGCTATTGTACGACCGTATTAAAAAGATTAATTGCTTGCTAGTTGCTCGAACTAGAGGTCGACCCTTACCATATGGGACTGTATGTCTAGTTAATTAGCTTAATATACCAGTAACAAGTTTCGAGATTTAGTAAAAAAACTCACTCAACCGACTTCATTGTTCTTGTATGAACACATTAAGTTATTAGTTACTCCTTCCGTTCGTAATTACATAACGTTCTACGATCTGCACATAAATTAAGGAAATTGTTGTAATGCCTAATAGTAGTATAACTTTTTCGTTAGTGTTTAACAAATTAGCTTCTTACCACTATCACTAGGGATCATTAATTACAAGGATAGCAGAAGTCATTTGTTGTCAATTTTTTCCCATTGAACTCTGTGAACGTCAAATATAATGATACAGAAAAAGGCACTAAAACATCAAGTAATTCCGATTCCGAACGGAGGGAGTATTAGAGCACCCCCATTCAATTGAACGGGGGGGGTGGGGGTTACACAAAATCCAAGAAAAGAAAAATAATAAAATTTATGAACCTCCCCTCGCGAGTATCACCGGGATGAATCCGTAGCAACACTGTTTCGAAGATTCCACGCCACGTGGCGGCCCGCGATTGGTCCATTATTTATTTTTTATTTTTTAAAAAGCAAACAAATTTTTTTTTTTTTTTATGAACCTCCCCATCGGTTCACTGATGGGGGTGCTCTTACCTCTTCCTAGCTTTGCCGAGAAAGACTATTCCAAATCCTAGACATTATTTCTGTGTTAGTTCTTAAGGTTCAGTAGTCAAGAAAAACAAATATAACCAAACAACTTCTCAATACACGTCACATTATATACTCCATCAAACATTACTATTTCTTTGTTAATACATTATAACATAGTCTTCATTTTAGTTTCAAAAAGTTATTGGAAGTTGTAACCTTACAATAAATCATTCAAAAAAATTTCAACACCAAAAATGTGTACGAGATTGTCCTCTCTTTGCACGATTCTGAAGAGAGTATTAAAAGTTACACTCTATAATTGACGACAACATATTGGTATGATCAATATTTATGGAGAAGTTTGGGCACATATCAAATATCCGAATTTGGAACTATTTGTATTCTGGTCTGCTTTGTTTGAAATCAGTTATTTGATTTGATTCAGTCTATAGTTATCTAGGTACTCTAGGTCTCATTTCCGAATTCTTTTAGATTTTTAACCAGATAATATATTTGATTCGAAAAAATAATAAAAATAAATAAAATAATAAAACTAATATTAAATAATATTATTTTATTACAAATGTAAAAGTATTTCCTTTTAAATTATAATAACTTTAATAAATAAAAATATTGTAAAGTTTTGATAAAATAAACTATTTGTCTAAGTTACATATATAATTCATTAAATATATACATATAAAAGATCAGATCGGAGATCTTTTTTTTTTTTTTTTGAAACACATTAATGGATCGGAGATCCATTAATTAATATTTGCGATTTGTTTCGTTTCTTACAAACATTTTATATTATTATTTGATTTATTTCATAGAATTATGTATATCTAAATTTTCATTTCGAGTCAAAACGAATAACGAATTGAATTATAAATTTCATAATATTTTTCCCACACCTTTTTACGGGTAGTACTGAACATTAATTCTAGGGTTTTCTATATTCATGACTTCTGAGTGATATGTTTCTTCACACTTATAGTGTATTGTGTATAATTACATAAATGGAATTATTTTGTTCATGACAACATTTCTAAGTTAAACAAGTGTATAAATTCTACTATAATTATTATCGTGTTCACCACCCGAGTGCAAATCTGTAAAAGGCATGTTGTTGATTTTTGTTTGCTCAATAAAAAGTATGTTTTTGATATATATACAAATTATATGTAAACTGTAAAACAAATTTTCTTATGAGCGACTCAACGACAGTTCTGATATGATTGTCATTTGAAATATTTCTATATAAGTGCGTATTTGTATTGCAACAGCAACTAACTGGTAATGTATTCATGTGCCATGATGAGAGGTATTTTGATTGATAAGAAACAAAATCAATTAACACTACACATCTTTCAATATTTACTAAATAAAATAAAGATCCAAAAATTTGGAACGTCTTACTTGGTTCTCTTATGTACACTTGAATGCATGTAATATATGTAAATTCATAAAATAAAAAATTCGAGAAGAATAATTTATATGATTTTTTCCCATGGACCCATGCAATAAAAGAGAAGCATCAAAGCATCATATGAACAATGAAAGAGGGCTATAAGTCTATTAAGTATTTATTTATACCAATTATGAGATTTGTAAGTGTTTCAAAAAAAAAAAATTGAACACTAATGTGTTTTTAAACTGATCGCCTAGGGTCAGTATATCAATAATGTGTGGTTTTCCTTATTGATAAGGATAAAATTAAAATAACCTACCTTTTAAAATAATATTTACTCAATTTTACTTCTTTTAAATAATAATTAAAAAACATTGAAGTTAAAATATATTTAGATTTTTTTCTTACTAGCTATGAAATTATGTCAAATATATTGAAGACTTGTGATATCGAATTTCAGCGCAATATGTCTAAGAATAAAGCAAAAACCCAGTTATATACATGTTTTTAATCTATTGATATACTTATTATAGAGTTCGCGAGTACATTTTTTCTTTCTGGTTAATTCCCCAAGGGAATCGAATCTAGTTTGATATCGTGATTTCAGACATAACTTTTAACTTTAGTGTTCGGAATAATACATTTCGGTAATATCTATAAACTGTATTTATAATATTTATAAATGCTCTAATATAATGTATATATAAGCTCTAATCTAATGTAAGTTGCTACATGCGGCATGCCTGGTCCATTTTCTTCATTACAAAATTGACTAACTATTTTAGTGATTTTGGAATTTGTTCAATATTCTCGACATACAAATAAGACACCGCACTTTGTATAATCATTATGTACTAGTAAGTTTTTACCAGCTTATATTATGCAAATGGAATCCATGATATAACTGATTAAGATTAGTTTAAAAATAAATACAGGATAAGATATAAAACAACACATTACAGACATAAGTTTTATTCTATCACATGTTTAAAATTATACAGGAACTTACCACTGGATTGAATTAGATCTCTAATTAATAGCAACAAGAAATTTTGGTTCTCGTGAACATTAATTAATCTGATCTAAATGTTAAATAACTCTTAGTATAATTTTATTGTTATGTAAACTCTTCATCAACTTTTGATCACCACACTTGCAGATTTAAGATTCCTAAAAAGTAAAATGGGGATAAAGGTTAAAAGAAAAAATAAGGGTCAAAATGTAGGAAGTGAAAAAGTTTGTGAGAGAGTGCATGTAGAAAATCGTTCTACATGTGATAGAGGAGTGATAAGTGCGGGGGACCTTTACAAAACTTACCCCAAGCTTCACAGAATTTCAGCTTCTCTTTACTCTTTGGCCTCTCACTTTCTTGCTTTTTCCCCTTTGTCACGCCCAGTTTTTATTTTAATTCACGTTAGTTTCAAAATGAATACAAATCATATTCAATATTGGACTCTCTTGAGTTCTGCTATCATTGCCGTGTCCTGTGTGAGTTGTAGATAATGGAAAACTAAAAATATCGCATAAATAAACTACCTTAGTAATTTACTAAATGAAAGCAACTTACATTTAGTTTTATGTAGAAAATCGTCATTGTTTCTATGTTACATTGGTAGCTGTACTATTAGAACATCTCCAACGATAACACCAAATTTGGTGTTAAAACTACATCAAATTTAGTGTTTTGGTATCAAACTTTTTTTGTCATCTACAACAATAACACCAAATTTTACATCACAAATAATATTAAATATTATTTAATTTTTAGTTTTATTTGTTTATAATTGATAATAATTATTCTATCACATTTATCTATTATGTTTGTTAGATTTTGTAGTTTTATGTTTATAAAAATTATTTACATTTATATTTTTGAATTAAAAATATTATATATTTATGTATTTACTCTATATGAAATTTTAGTTCAAAATTACAAATTATTAACAAGTAAAAGTAGATAAAAATATATTTATTTTAATAAATTTTATTAGTTTTTTATACAAGTTTAACTATTTATAAAATAAAATAATTATTTAATGTTTGATAAATTTAATAGTATTACATAAAATTTTAATTAGTTACTATTTAAACAAGTTTATAGTATTTATTTCTATATTTTATAAAATATTAATTAGATTTTTATACTTTCAAAAGTAAAATTAAAAATTCTAGGATATATTATTTTAAAGTTTGACGTAAATGATAATATATATTTAGTGATTTATTAATAGGAAAAAAATTCAATTATGTAAAATGATTTACAAATACAAATAATACATTATATTTAGGTCTTAATTACAAATTTGAACTAATTAACAATATTTATTCAAGTATATTATTAAGCAAAATACAATAAAATAATTTTTTTTGTAACAATATTATTAAATTATGTATTTTAAGATTTGGTGTGAAGAATAGTATTAGACTAAATTTGGTGTAACACTATTCACTTTACACTAAATTTGGTGGAATTGTGTCAATTTTGGTATCTTGTTAGAGATGAATTAACACCAAATTTGATGTTTTGGTGTCATTGTTGAAAATGGCCTTAACATTAAAAATTGAAAACTAAAAAAAGAAGGAATAAATTACCAAAATTCAGATGGAAACTGATGAATCATATTAGATAAGAACCACATTATAAAAACATTTCTAATGGGAGGTTCTAAATTCGAAGTTCTTAATATTTAATTATAGAATCTTAATTTTATGGTAAACGCAATTTAAAAATTCCCGAGAGATATTTTGGGTTGGATTTTTCGTAAAATTAAGAACCCCCACAGTTAAATACTAAGAACATCCTCAATGAAGAGTTATAGTTCCGGAATTCTCAATATATACATTAATATTTAATTATAAGATTTTTAATTTTAAGAAAAATTCAGTCCTAAATATCTCATCATATAAATTTGGATCGGCTTTCTCGTAAAGTTAAAAATTTGACAGTTAAATATTAATATTAACATATACATACACACATATATGTATTTTGAGAATTCCAAAGCTAGAAATCTCATTTGAGATGTTCTAATATTAATATTAATATATATATATATATATATATATATTAATATTATTATTTAATTGTAAGGGGTTTTAGCTTTAATGGGAAACTCAATCCAAAATAGCAGTATATAATTTTTTTGTATCGTGTTTCTCCTTATATATGCTCTAGTACTATAGCTAAGTTTTAGTGATTTTATGAAGAAAAAAAACATGGGTGTACTATAGATAAGTTTTAGTGATTTTCCCAGATTCAGGAGAGGAGGTTGAAGGATGAGACAACGAATAACTAGAAGAAGAAAAGAAAAAAACAAAACAAAAGGGTGTCCTTACTCCTTAGTGATGAGAAACACATTCAAACTGCATGTACAAGTTTGGTAAGTGATTCAATGAAAGCAATGCTTTCAACTAACTTCACTGGTTCAAAAAATGTTGCTACTAAATATGGTTTCGATACATCAAAATAAGGAACCAAGAATGCTACTGATGATCTCAAGACGTCAGAGGCAGTTACAATAAGTTTCAACACACACACAAACACACACACGTCATATGGTCTTCCTCAACGCCGCTATACAACAATCAAATAACACCTAATGCAATGATATGGCACAAAAGACAGACAAATTATAAAAATGAATTGCAATAAAAAGCTTTCCTCTCACTGAATGATGATACGATTTTTGAAAATTCAGCTAATTTTTGGAGATTATATTTATGCAAATAATGTTAATAGAGTCTTCTGAAATGATAATTACTAAGCAAAAAACAAAAGAGTATCTCATTCATCAAAATGCTTCAATGGTCATCAAAGAATCCAACAAGTGTGTATCACAATCACACTGACCGTAAACCAATGTCTTGCAAAGATTCTTGCAGAGATGTGACAGCGCCTTCGTAGTTTAAGAAACCCATGAACCAGAACTCATGATTGTCTACCGATATTACCTGTATGTACTTCTCAGCAGGATTCACTATGCTTGCTGACGGATTCACTGCTTTAAGTTGGTGTAGTGGTATCATCACCTGTTTAACATACAAGACATAAAAGTGTTAATCAAGCAAGTTTACTGAAATGTGTAAATAAACAAGAGATGAAGACACTCATGGTAACAAGTTTATTGCACTGTCAAACTGATGCGAACAAGTGTTAGTTAAGCTGGTTTACTCATATGAGTAAACAAACAAACAAGATATGAAAGCTGATGCTCATATTATCTTAGCACGTTATATTGCACTGACTATAAATTTAAACTGACACTTAACGTATTGGTATTGGCTAATTGGCATCGAGGTAACAAAAACAAAACTCTCACAATTCCTCCACAAAAAGGTCTTATGGATTTATGATTCCGAGTATATAAGTAAAACCATGAAAGTCAGAACAAGTCAAGATTGTTTGTCAATCGCTCTAGGGAAGCTTATTAGTTGATGCTACTAACAAATTATAACGATACACTGCCTTACGCATCTAGCAGAGGATACAAAGTGTTAATTTATAATCACTGCAGTAAGTTAAATGCACTGAATCTAAAGTCTATGGCTTTTATCACTTTAAGACAGCTATGTATCTAAAGTCCATGAGTTTATGACTCGGATGTATAACACCATGATGAAGCCAGAAAAAGTGAATCTAAAGTCCATGGCTTTATCACACTGTAAGACAGCTCATCCTAGAGGTTACTACAAACAATTCTTGATCAGACAAGATGTGAGGCATTATTATTTACCTTGTAGTAGCTCCACTGGGTCTGACCATCGTTTTTGTAAGAGAGAGGGTTGTCGCTACAGTAAGAAAGCTTGGCATTGGATACATACAAAACTCCCATAACTGGGCCAGCTGAGGTGGACAAGTAACATGCAAAAGAGTTCAACAGCTGTTCATCATGATCGGTCTCAAAGGTTTGTCGGAAAATCTTCTCGTATCCTCCTTCTGCAAGAACCTTAGTACTCTGTGCAATCCTTCCCATCGCAGCATCCGCAAAACTCGGAGCAGTTCTCACTGTGTTGAAACAGAATAACATAATTTATCCAAAAAAAAGAAAACAGAAAAACATAAGAGAGACATCAAAGCTGACATCATACAGACAAAAAAGATCTAAAGACTTACGATGCTGCCACGTGTTCCCGGCAAGGCTCTCAGTCTTCTTGGCAGCTTCAGCAACCCTCCTTCCCCATCTCCCAAGCGCTCCTTTCACAGACTCCATCGTATCTGCTCCAATTTATATAATACATAAAGATTAAAAAAATAAAAAGATCAAAGTTTAAATCCGAACCGGATCACGGGTCCGGGCCGGGTTTGAAAACATATGACCGTTACGAAACGTAATAAACACTCAAACGTACCTTTCAAGGAAGCATCGGTGGTGTCTGGTGGAGAACGAGCAATGTAGGGGTTGTACGGGTTAGATCCGGCGGGGTAAGAATGATCCGCTTCCTGAGACCCGGAAACCAATTCGGGGCTCCAGTGGACGTTTTTCTTCGATCCAGACAAAGTTCTAACCGGCCGTTGAACGCTCCCTTTCGTCGTCTCGATTTCAATCTCGATGCTTTCCTTCTTCGTCGGTCCATGATCCGCAGCTTTCGGATCGACGCTCGGCGAGGGGATTGGATTCTGCGCAATCTTCACTTCCTTGGTATCTGCCTTAGGCTCCATCGTTCTTTAAAAGAAAAGGGAGGGATCGGATCGTGGCGGGTAAGGTGAATGGTGTGGGTGGGAGTTTGAATTGTTTGTGTAAAGGGATGATGGTATCTTTCTTTGGTGAGAAAATAGAGGAAGGGATCACCGGGAAGACAGGTGATGATGAACCGTTAACAAGTGATTTGCCATTTTTAACCGAATATTAGAGATTTTTAGACCGAATTTGACCGGTGCTGGATTTGTCATGTCTTTCTCTACGTTACGAATGACCATAGTTAATGATGGTACGTTGATTATGTTGTAACATATTAAAAATTAATAGCAATAATATTTTTATTGAATTCAGATTTTTCACGAGTTCGGTTTGTCAACTAAACAAAAAAAAACTTAAAGTTACTAGTAGATTTCTAAATCCACATGTCTCTAGACGCCAGTTATCTTTTTTTTTTCTTTTTTTTTTTTTTGTCAATTCATTTCATTAAACCTCATGGACTACAATTAGGAGTACAAATTAAACTTTAACAAATCCTATCACATAACAATATTAGAAAGACGCACATATATTACACATGTACGACATTTACAGAAACTATGAAACATGGCAGATGGCTAGGGATCTTTTAATGCATCCTTATCATGTATGCATCGCCGCTGATGCAAGAGAAATACGTCGGCGAAGCTTGCTCGTCCATTCTACCACAAAATCTTTGCACCCCTAATCACAATCACCTTTCACTTTAGCTGTAAACTACTTGAACAGAGAGGTTTTGTTTTGTTTTTTTTTTTTTTTTTCTTCACAGGAATAAATGGAGAGAAATCTTAAACCAAACTGAAGAAGGACTCTTCTTCAGACTGCTACAAGCTTCAACTTCTTCTGTATCCGCTCTAGGATGGCTTAATGAACTCATCATATTCGATCATCTTTCTAGCGGAGATGCTCTACGAACGCCATATAACGGCTCTTGTATAGATTGGTTATTTTGGAAATACGATTAAAGTAGTCAGTGAAGAAAACATCTGACTTAGAGGATTAATTTATTTATCTATCTAGAGTCGATTTTGGGGTAAGCCGGATAAAACATTAGCTTTGGACTCTCAAATTTTTTGAAAAAAATTACATATAGATAAGCCTCCCCAAAAATATTTTTAGACCCTCAAATCCATAAAAATAAATTTAGATGAAACCGTTAAAAAAATGTCTTAGGCCCCCGAATTCTCAGGATCGGCCATGTATGTCACCAAAATTGATTTACCTTTTTCGTCACACATCCATTTAGAATTCCAGGATTAAGCATGTTTGGGCTGGAGTAGTGAATGGATGGGTGATCTATCGGGAAGTGATTTGCGATACCGTGTGAGTGAGACTAAAGCACATGAAAAGATCGGCTGGTGATTGCAGGGTCAATAAACAATATTTCAAAACTTTGGAAAAACTAACGGACCGACCGTTGGAACATGATGGGGTCCACATGCCAAGAGAGCGAGCGTGGGTGGCCCATAGCTGTGGATGGTCAGAGTGTTATAAGTGGTATCAGAGCTGGTTAGCCATCTCGGTTCTGGCCGAGAGGAGTCTTGAGACCTATCATGGAGCGCAACGAGAACGTTGCATTCTTTGAGAGGGAGTGAATTGTAACATCTCGAGTTGTGATATATGGAAAGACTTAACAGATCAACCGTTGGAACATATAGGATCCACGGGCTGAGAGATCAGGCATAGGTGGCCATTAGCCGTGTGCGGTCGAGGCGTTATATAACCATTCGAGAATGAAGTTGAAAACAAAGTGAAAGGCTGGTGACTGACTCAACACCAATCAAGACAAAGATGGCCAATTTTATTATCTCCAATCGATAATTCGAGAAGAATAAACATAATGAACTGTTAGGATCTGATTGAAAAAACATGCCAAAATCGCCACCGCGAAAACTAAATCTGCTAACCGGAAAATCAAAATCGATCCAAGATCGAATATGCTACAATCCAAAAGAATCAATTTAATTCTCTCCCTCTAAATAACATGATTTTGATAAGAATAAAATAGATAATTTATCTCTCTCTAAAGATGAGAGAGAATCAACTTGTTGAGCCATCTTAGATGCTGGATATCTAATTGACAATTGTAGTTTTATTCTCTCTTTACAATCTTAAATAACTAGGGACATGTCCCTATGCAAGTGCAGAACTGTTTACGGATCTGCTGTCTCTTTAAAACGGCAGAATTTTTGTGAAGTTATTGAAGCTGTAAAGCTGAGTAACGAGATCGTGTTTATAGAGCTCTAATAAGGGGTTATATCTATGAAATATTCATAAAAAATTATTATATTTAATAACATTTGTCAAAGTGTTTTTAATTTTATAAGTTTATTTAAATTCGCAGTTGGGCTGGAAGGGATCGAAGGAAATTGTTTTTAAAAGTTCACTAGATATTGACCCGTGCTTTAAAAGCGCGGGACTATTTTTGTTTTTGTTTTCGTTTTCGACTCCAATTGTTTTTTCAGTAGTGATTTTTATATTTTCGGTTCAAAGATTGCAGACAACGTTCGATTATTTTTGAATTTGAATTTAGTTTTAGGTGATTATTTTGATTTTTTGTTTCGTTTGAATAATAATGTTAGGAACCCAATAAAATTTCAAATTCAATTTAATTATGGCTCGGTTCCTGTTTTTAAATAATTTTAAATAATTAGAATAAATAATGTAAATTTAAAAATTTTTCTTAAAACCTATTCGAGTAATTTTGAATTTACGTCACTTATGTTTCAGATTAAATGGTGGTATAGTTCAAAATATGTAAATAAATATAGTCATTAAACAGAAATAAATTAATATAAAATTAAAATAGACTATGTAATTATAATAAGGATTTCGAAAATGCATTAACTGTGGAATATATTAATGTTTGGCGAGATTAAATGGGTATTAAATGTGTTTGATAATATATTAGTGGATAGCTATAATAGATTAAAAGAATGTAATGACATACTTGTAATAATTAAAACAAATTTAAGGTACTTCAAAAAAAGATCTTGTATTTTAATAATATTTTATATATTTACTGAATAATATATGTATATATTCGATGACAAAAAACATGTGTATATACTCACTTTGTATTTTTAACTTTTATAATATAAAATTTATCAAAATATAAAATTAGTACATGTAGAATTATAACAAATTTTTCTCTTAAATAATGATGATATAGTCCTCATAGATATACTATCTCATATGTGATTCATCATTTGATGACAAAAAATGACAGAGAACATATGTATATACTATATACTAACTTTGTATTTTTTTTTACTTTTTCAATCTAAATAATTATCAAGATAATAAAGTAGTATAATTCGTGACCTATCTACCTGTTACGGTTGATTTGGGTTCATATACCTATAGAATTATAACTAATTTCTCTTTTAAATAATGGTTTATATATATAGTCCAAATAAACTATCACATATGTGATTCATCATTCGATGACAAAAATGACAAAAAATGTAAATTCTTATTTCACCACTTTGGATTCATCACGGGGAAGACACATATACATATCATTTTTGCTGTTTTTTGGGAATATTCCCTTATTTTGACAAGCATAAATCTCAAAGGATTCTTGTTTTAAGTACTGCAACATAATTGGTTTTTTTTTTACTGTCGATATTAATTAATAATTTAATGTCTAAATATGACAATGGCATCACATTGTAATTTTTTTAGAAAATCATGGACAAAATCCTAACAGGTATTTTGTTTTAATAGTATAGATTGCATGTTTTAAAATTGAATGAGAGGAATGACATTAGGCCCATAAGTATACTTTGGTGGGGAACAAAACCGAAGAAGTGTTTGTCATTTTGGCGCTTGGCGTTATTTCAACAATTACAATATATTTTTTTTTCCTGGTTTCTATAGATTCCTATTATTCATTTTTTGAATGAGTCAGAGCTGTTTTTAAATTGAGATTTAATTGTCTGCTCCCACGTTATTTTGTTTCGTAACTTAGATTTTGTAAGGTTATTTATTTTCTGAAAACTGGAAAGTTTTAAAATGTTTTCATATTAGTCATCATCTTACCTGATAAATGTATAACTTAAAATGTTACAAAAGAAAAGGTGTAACTTAGTGGTCGTTGTTGCACGACATGAAAATTTTCAAAGATGATAGCGGTATCTATATTATATAGGAGACTTTTCTCATTCCCGAGGATGTCCACGTATACAGCTTTGAATTAAGTGGGTCTCGCAGAAAAAATTAGTTATTAATCAATGTTAAGTTTTATTATTTGCATAGATCCACTACTTTACTAGAATCAAATTATGAAAAACCGAATTGTGACAAATTGAAAAAACGTCTTAGTCACCTGGTCTCCTATTTCCGTGGCGATCTAGGGTTACTTCATGGAAGTCACTAACTTCACAGCCACAAACACAACCTTATAACTCCTAAAATTAAATTTATGAACTGTTTATCTTCCCCTATCTATATATTTTCCAGTATTTACTCATGCCATCAATAATGGCTGGGTTTCATGACCGTTGAAGTTCTTCCTTATATATATGTTGTTCATGTTACACAACGAAACCTTGCATTTGATTTCAAGGCACAGTTTTTCTCAACTGGATTCGTCTACTACTTTTGTTTCTCTAGCCATCTGCCACTCAACCTTTGACGCTCTCCGACTTGACCGAAGTTCCCAATTCATTGTAACAAACTTCAAGAAAAGCTATGAATTTTATTGGAGGCATCTCTTCCTCCCGGATGAAAAGGTATCATACTCTTTACTCTATCACCAACCATATATGATTCCAATCCGTTTATGAAATGTTTTTTTTTACTTTACTATTCTCTCTCTCCGTATGCAGAATTTTTTGATCCACTGCTTCATCACATCGGTTCGAGAAGGAAGTTAGAAAAAATTGGCACTTCCATTCAGTGCAACAAATGTGCTTCTTCCAACATTACGGGAGTTATCAGGTATCAAGTGTATATCCCCAGTTCCTCACCAATAACTAAAGGCACAACGTCATCTACATATATAGTCACCTTAAGCTTCCTCTTATTCCAGGTTCCGTGTTGAGCTATCAGTTAATGACGGTAATGATAGTGTCACGTTTGTGGTGTATATTAGACAGGGAGGGCTAGGCTCCAAGTAAGATGCACCTTCTGTGGCACTTAAGAAGGTACTTTTTAACTGCTACACTCCATTTGTCTTACGTTTAAAATTATAAAGTGACTCTAAATGTATGTCAAATCTTTAACCTACTACAAATAAGTGGCGGTGGAGAGCAGGAGCTGCCTAGCTGGAAAGGATTGTTTTCTAAGATCCATTTTGTTCCTACAGTGATGGACAATACAATGATGCATACATAAAACATATTCTATATATCATCAAAGGCATTGCAACTATGCATATATTATTATATTAGTTCTCTTTAAAAAATATTATTTTCTTATAGAGGGAAGACACATGCGGTCTAAGACAATGCCTCCTTGTAGAATGTCATTACCCAGAGTAGGAAGGTATTGTGCTTTCTCTATCTAAGGAGAGAAAACATTAAATTTCTGGGTTAAGAAAGCATAATGTATGGTTTCTTGCAAGAAATCCAATTCGTAGAATGGAAAAAAAACTTGAAGGATTTTGAACCTATTCATGTGGAATATCTCAATAAAATTATCAATATATTATAGAATAAAGATATTAATCAACTATTTTTTTTGGATATCATAACGCTCATATCTACCTAAATCTACTTACATAGGATTACAAACTTATGTAATATGAAATAAAGAGAATGATATTTTTTCGTAATTGTGTATTTTTGTTCAATACCATTAGTGACAAGCTTCAACATGCACCTTTTCTCTCTTTGTCATTTCAATTTATCTCCATGATTTGTTCTTCTTGATCTTATTTGTTCTTCTTGATCTTATTTGTTCAATCACCTACACAAATACTGTTTCATGTTGGCAATCTGTTGAACTAAGATGCAACGGAGGGTAAGGTGGAGTCATAGCAGACGACTTGGTGGTAAAAATAGCAGAGGTTTGGGAAACCCCCGAATGAGAAGACCGATAAGGATGCACTTGAACAAATTCCCCAATTATTTTTGATTCAACTATGTTCTTTGATTATCATTTATTTCTCAATCATTGAGGGTTTATTGTAATGATTATTCTCTTTCCAGAATCGTCATTCCAAGGGTGAAAATGGAAAATTTGGTATGCATAAAAAAAAAACTTGTGAGAAGATGTTGGTATATAAATTTGATGGATATAGTTTCTTGTAGTGTTGCCATCTTCGTTCATGATTGAACATTTTGTTATTTTTTTTACGTGTATGTGTGGAACTACGAGGAAGAGTGAAAAGGAATATGATAGTATATAGTAGGGGAAGTTTTAAAAAGAAAAAATAAAGCTTAAAATATCTATTTTTTTAATTGATAAATTATAAAACCATAATAATCCCATTTATTTGTTAAGGTTTGGTATTTTCTCTTGAATTTATCTAAAAAAAGATCAAGAAAATAAATTGCAAAGATAAAAGAGAAAAGGTACATGTCAAAGCTTGTCGATGGTATTGAATACAATTGACAAAATAATTCATTTTTTTTCTCTGACACAAATTTGTATTGATCTTAATCATATGTATATTATAAAATAGATACTAGATATACATATATAATGATACCAGAAGCAATAGTTTATTAATCTCTTTATTTAATAATATATTTTTTTTTTTTGATATTCCACATGATTATGTTCTAGTTTCTTAAAGTTTGTTAAGCCACTCAAATAGCTGGGTTCGTGCAATGAGACATGCATTCAGCAAGTGTAGCATAACATTTTAATATTTCCGGTGCACTGTTACAGCAAAAACATTTTGTTCCGGTACAATGAATGGGACGAACGCACTTTCTGTCGAATTCTAAACCATCTGCATTTCCCACTGTATAAGAAAAATAAGATTAAAAATAAGAATATAATACTATATGCATAGTTGCAATGCCTATTATGATAAAATAATGAAAAACAGATATATGCATCATTGCATTGTACATACATTGATGTAAAGGAACAAGAGAAATCAGGATGAGACACATGATAGCAAAATGTGATGTTGACATTATCGTAATACTCTTCTAATAAATGTTACGTTTCTTTGCTATTTGATGGTTATATTTCTTAGGGACGTACAATAGAGACTATATATATATAAAAAATATGTAAGAGAAACATTACTACTCTAATATTTAAAATTGACTTATTCTTGAGTTCACCCCCTGGGGTGAATCTATAGGTTCACCATCCAATAGGATTACATCATTTTATATTTGATATCTTTTTAAAAAGGAAACAAAATCTTATTAAGTATATTATGTTTGTAAAAACAAAAATTCCAAACAAAAAAGAAAACAATTTAATAATTTTTTTACGAATACTTATTAGTTTATATTTTATTTAATTTAATTCTTTCAAATAAAGTAAATAATCTATATATTAATAAATATAAAATATTTCTTGCCTCTTCTGATTTCTTCTTTTATTACTAAGAGATTTATTGAAATTTATGGATGATATATTTCAACTGGTTATGCATTCTATGTATGTTTCACTTGTTTTAGTTTTTCATATTATTTAGTAATATTTTTAATATAAATCTTATTTTTTATAAAAATAATAACTTTTTATAAATATTTTTATGCAAGTACGTATTTGTTATTATTAATCACTTAGCTAGAAAATCTTACCATTTTACTCCCCCCCCCTCCCAAAAAAACTAGCTAAAGAAACCAAAGCTAAACCACCACTACGCCTACATGGTCTGACTGTAAAAAATAAATCATAATCTAAATGACACTGGAGAAATAATTGATTATTCTTTGCCTTCATGAGATATCTAATCTTTTACAATATTCCCACAAGAAGTTAAAATATTATTTTTATTTAACATATTACTTAAGAATATGAAAAAATATAAAATAAGTAAACCATACAATGAATGCAAAACTAATAAGAGAAATTTCATCTATAAAATTAAATGAATATCTAAACAATAAGAGAAAAAAAAAGAAAAGAGAGACAAGAAAATATTTTATTTAAGATATGTTAAGATATTCGTTAAGAGTGTTAATTTTTTTTCGTTAAGAGTGTTAATTAAATTTGTTAATGTATATACTAATTAATATATAATAAACATTTAAAATAATTTAATTATTTTTTATAAAAAAAAATTATATGATTTCGAAGGCTATTTTGGATAGTAAAGTAATAAGGTTGATCTCACATATTTATATATATATATATAGTCTTTGTTATGGGAAAATTGCATAACAAACATTTTTGTGATACCACAATTCAACTTTACCACAGCTCAAAGGACATTTTCAGAAATACCTAGATCATTAATAGAAAAAAGACAAAAATAACCCTTTCATGATTTTCTATCTCTTTCTCGAGACTTTGACAGAACGACGGCGAAGGCAACGAGATCGAGCGACGAGATAATCCAGAGTTCCACTTGGATTCACCGATGTGAGCAAGGGGAGACAATGGTTTGATGGAAGAAGACGATGTTGACGCTATTATCGAGGAAAACGGTGTTGACTATGAAAGCGATTCCGAGCTTTCCTCAAACCTCCGTGACTTTGTCGCCGCTGCTCAGTCCGGTGACGTCGTCGCCTTGCGCACCGCCATTGGTACTTTCTTTTCTTCTATACGAATCTCTTAAAGCTCACATTCGAGTGCGTTATGCTTTGATTAGCTTTGGCTAGGATGTAAAGACTCAAGCTTTTTTAATGGAACTAATCATCTTCGAAACCAAAGAGTAGACTTGCCTTGCTAGAATTTAACGCATAATTAATTTAAAATGAAAAAATCCTACACCATTAGACAAGATGCACCATTTAATGTGTATTCTGTCTACTTTGCTTATGTTTTGAGTGATTTGTTGCTCGAGGCTGTGATGGACATGACAAATGATCTGAATTCTCTTATTGAGTCTGATGAGTTTCAAGTGGTAGACAAGTAAAGTTATCAGTTTTGCTTCGAAATTGGCTGATATGTCCTTTATGCGTGCAATTGTTACAAGACTCAGCTTATGAAGACAATATGTTTCTTCTTCTTTTTCCTGATGATTTGCTTATCCGCCTTTGAATTTGGTAGACAATCTGAATGGGAGAGTTGATGAGACACTTGAGGATAATGACTCGGCACTTCACCTTGCGTGTCTCTATGGTCACCTTCCTTGTGTTCAGGTTTTTTTTTTTTTTTTTGCTTTTACTACCTTCTGCTTGGTCATTTCTACCCAATTTTTGTCAGCGGCTATGTTTTTGTAAACTTATTTGCTGCAGCTTCTCCTGGAGAGAGGTGCTAATATGGAGATCAAAGATGAAGATGAAGCCATTCGTCTGCATGATGCTTGTGCTGGAGGTAAACTTGGTCTTCACCCTCTTTTTCGTATTTCTTTCTCACACCATGTTCAAGTTTTATAGCTTTTCTTTTGTTGAACTTGGGGGCTAGAAGGATACTTAGAGATAGTCGAGCTTCTATTTAGCCGAGCTAGTGGTCCTGAATATGTGAAGAGAATGATTGAAACTATTGATGTAGAAGGTGACACTGTAAGTATTATTCACCATCTACAAATCAATCACTCTCTCCATCTCTCTGACCTGTGATTAATGCATCATGCAGCCAGAGGCGAGCATGTCAATGTGATTAATTTTTTGCTGAGTTCAGGTGCTTCACCAACAATCAAAAACTCGTATGGGAAGGTAAACGTTCGAAAACATTTTGCGTCTTTGGTTCTCCTTGTCTTCTTGATTAGTGATAGCAAGCTTGTGATTATCTGCAGACACCAAGTGAACTAGCTGATGTAAACACTGATGCTAAGAGGATCCTCGAAGCTGCGACTGGCGACTCACTTAGAAAATTTACTGTAGAATTTAGACTGTAGATGTTTTTGATGTAGTTGTATCTAATGTAGCTGTGAAAATTAAATGAAAAAAATATAAAAGGAAAGATATTCCTACAACAATTCTACATCAATAATTTTTTGCTTTAGAAAATAGGGTTCCTACAACCATTTTTCCATTTTTTTGACTTTAGCTTTAAAAATTACTTAAAGCATGATTGGTAATTTAAATGGTTGTAGATAGAAATTAAAGCTAAAGTCATTAGTTACAACCCAACCAATCACCCTCATATATATAAGTATGTAAGAGAAACCATTATTACTCTAGTATTTAAAATTGGTTATAAATCAAATAAATTTATATTTTAGTAAAATTATAATAATTAATTTTAATTTATTTCTCTAAAATAGAGTAAGTCATCTACATATTAAAAAATATAATTAATAGTCTGAAATTTGTTTTTCATAATATCTAAAATAAAATATTTCTTGCCTCGTGTCATTTCTTCTTTTGTTACTAATAGATTCATTGAAATTTCTGGATGATATTATTAAACTGGTTATGCATTCTATATATGTTTCACTTATTTTAGTTTTTCTTATTCCTTAGTAATATTTTTAATAAAAATATTATTTTTAATAAAAAATAACTTTTTATAAATATATTTTCTGCAAGTTGTATTTGTTATAATTAATCCCTTAGCTAGAAAATCTTAACATTTTACACCCCCCTCAAAAAAAAAAAACTAGCTAAAGAAACCAAAGTTAAACCACTACTACACCTACATGGTTTGACTGTAAAAAATAAATCATAATCTAAATGACACTGGAGAATAATTGATCATTGTGCCTTCATGAGATATCAAATCTTTTAAAATACTCCTACAAGAAGATAAAATATAATTTTTATTTAACATCTTACTTAAAAATATGAAAAATATAAAGTAAGTAAACCATACAATGAATGCAAAACTAATAAGAGAAATTTCATCTATAAAATTAAATGAATATCTAAACAATAAGAGAAGAAAAAAAGAGAGACAAGAAAATATTTTATTTAAGATATTATGAAATAATCTTTAAGAGTGTTAATTAAATTTGTTAATGTATAGATTAATTAATATATAATAAACATTTAAAATAATTTAATTATTTTTTTGTAAAATATAAACTTTTATGATTTTGATCGCCATTTTGGATACTAAAGTAATAAGGTTGGTCTCTGTTATACGTCAGAAGGAAATAAAACCTTCAAAACACATCGTTTCTTAGACGAGTATTACGATAATATCATCATCATATTTTTCTATCACGTGCCTTTACATGAATGTATGTATAATGTAATAATGCATATATAAAATATATTCTATTTTTTCTATCTTTTATTTTCAAAGACATTGGAGCTATGCATGTATTATTATATTAGTTTCCTTTAAAAAAATACTATGTTCTTATAGAGGGAGACAAATGCAATCTAAGACAATGCCTCTCTGTAGAGTGTCCTTACCCATAATAGGAAGGTAGTGTGCTCTGTCTAAGGAGATAAAACATTAAATTGCTGGGTTAAGAAAGCATAAGGTATGGCTGCTTGCAAGAAGCTCCAACTCATCGAATGGCTAAAAAAACTTGAAGGATACAGAACATATTCATGTGGAATATTTCAATAAAGTTATCAATCTTATTATATAAAGGAAGACCTTTGATCTCTCTTGTAATGTCACGTCACTAATTCATACATTCACAAAGTGACACGTGTCTCATCCTTTCTTACTCTCCCATCTTTCCAGACTCTGGGCTTCATTAAATAATCAACAACTTTTATGAGGTTTTCTATGTGTGACTTTAGTCTTTGGTCGAATTAAGAACCCAGTTCAATAGCAAGCAACCCTGATTCCTTTTACCCAGAAACATTGTGTTCTCCGCCATGAAAACGCTTCCGTTGAAGGACATAGCCACGAGCATTAGCAAGTAACCGATCGCCGTGTTCACGCCGAAAAGCACCACTGACACAGCTTTCGCGTCGGATCTAGTACCCGAATTGGTGAGAAGAAGAGTGGAAGCGCTGATGCGCAGCAGAGGATGATGACGAATAGATAAATGAATCTGAACTAGAGATGGCGGTTCTTAAGGTACTGGTAGAAGGCGGCGAAGACGAAGCAAGCAAGTAAGGTGAGGATGTAATTGAGGCATGAATCACTTTTCCAGAAATCAAAAAGAATTGTAGCTTTGTTTTCCCAGTAGAAGGTTGCATCATCTTTGTGATTGCTTGAGCTTCTTTGATCATCTGAGATGTGAAGAAAAGAAGAAACGATCGAGAAGTTGTTGTAAAGTTGGATTTGGTTGTTGTTGTTTACAGAGTAAGTATCATTGTGGGCTCAAACTATAGTCCATTGAGCTTATCAATAAATCAAAATCTCTTTTACTACACCAACAAACTCAAATTTGATCTAACCAAATTGACACAATCATGTTCATAAGTTGTAACCTACTGGAACCCTTTAAATCCAGTTGACGTTTTATTAAAGATTTTATCATAAGTTACATATTAAAGAAAATCGGATTAAGTAAATTTGTGTGTATATAATAAAAAAACTGAAAATTTAATACCTCAACATTCAAAACATATTTTTATAATGATACATGATATTATTTTATTATTATTTCATATTCTAAATTTAATTTTGCTTATTAAGTATTTTGAATGGGATATTTTATGGGAAAATTGTCATTTAAATCACAAACTTTCAAATTTGGTTGAAATAAAGCACCAACTTTCTCATAAACCAAAAAAATACTCAACTTTTATTAACAAGTCATTTTAATCACAAACTTTCGTCGACCATACCAATTTAGGCATATCGTTAGTCAACAGTTATAGTTGACTAACGGTAGGCCTAAAATGGCTTTCGAAGTTGATGTTTTTTTTGGCACAAATATAAATCAATATTTTTTTTACAATATTGGATATATTTTTAATATTGAAAATATTTTTATAACAGAAGCACTAATAAATGAAACTATAAATAAAAATTCTAGAAAAAAATATAAATAAAACTCAATGTAAAATAATTAGTTAACATACATTAATTAAGTATCTTAGTTATAAAATGATAAGAATATTTT